TCGCCCCTTCTTTTGTCCCAAAGCCCATTAATGGACCGTCTTGGCCGCCACCGTCTCCAAACACTGCAACACCACCAACACCTGCTCCTACGGTCAAGGAGTCGTCCATCCGACGCTTGCAACCAACTCCACCGCCAGACGGTGAATCCACTCAGAACGTCTCCTCCGACTCGAGCTAACACCGATCTGCAGATTCCCCACCACCCGCTCCACCACCTAAAGGCCTTACTTTTCGCAAATTAATCACCCAGGACCAAATTCTCTCAGAAAAGCGCAGTTCTGCTGCAAGCAGTGCCTCGGGACCTACGACAAAACGAGATGAACTTTTGATCAGTCTCTTAGCCTCACAGGCTGTTGTAGATAGCCGGGACTTTGAAATACTGGACTCTGAACAAGTCGAAGAACTGACCAAGGTGATAGCACTGTCTCAGGTCTGTCATCTGATTAATTCTATATCCAGGAACACCAACTACTTTCAATCCGGCTCGAAGCAATGTCCAAGAGGTTGAGGACCGAGACTAAGATTCGTGATGCCGCCGTATCCCTCTCTAAAATCAATGCTACCACTAAAAAGGTTTCCAAGCAAACCGAGGAACAGCTCGCAGCTTCCAACAAACGCGTGGATGCAGCGCAGCAAGATTTGTTCCGGCTATCAGAGCGTGTACACGAGGTCCACAGGCGTTTGCTTGAGCATCGTGCAAGTGTTCTGTCATATTCGTTACGCAAGCTAGAAAAAGCGGCGACGCAAGGCTCAGCGGATGGGACAGGGGAAGACTCGGAGTATGGTCCGTCAAATCGGAATACACTGATGAGCCTCAGTACATCCAGCATGACTGGTTTTTCTACGTCTGCAAAAGCTCGTTTCGATGGCCCCCATCTATTTGCAGGACATGCGGAGGCTATTGTTCCGCGACGAAAGTTCTCTGGTGAAGCAGCTGCTGTGGAAATTACATCTCTTGAGGAGAAATTGAAGGCTGCAACGGATTCATTGTCGGCGGCGAGTAAGAAGCAGGCCGAGTTGACGAGGGAGTTGAGTATGATGAAATTAGAGAAAGTGGAGGTGGAGACGATGATGAGCATGGACTTGCAAAATGCAGAAGAGACGATTCAAGCCTTGCGAAAGGAGATGTCGAAACTCGAAGAGTTGGACGCCACAGTGAAGCAATTACAAGAGGAGAAGAGGGCTTGGCTGGATGAGAAGTCAAGACTGGAGGATCAGGCAGCGAAAGCGCAGGAGATTGAGAGCATGTATGGGACGCGCGAAACTGATTCTGAAAAGCATTCAGAGGAAAGCAGGAGGATGTTGCAGGAAAAAGAGGAGGAAATTCAACGGACAAGGGCGCAGTGGCAAGCAGAAAGAGACATGTGGGAAAGCCGGATGACTGAACTTGAGGATGAGAGGACGGAAGATTTGGCGCGGTTGCAGCAGGAAATGGACAGTGCTCGAGAAGAGGATGAGCGAGTTCTTGAACGCACAAATGAGGAACTCGACGCGGGACTTGAAGCGTTACGGTCATTAGTCAAGCAACATGGTATCGTGCTATTTTCACGAAACCCGTCGCTGGAGGGGCTTCTATCCTCTGTTGGTACACATTTAGAGACCGTGCACGGGAAGCTGGAAGCACACTCACGCATTGAGACCGAGTGGGACACAGTCCGGCGTAAGCTCGAGGCAGACGTTCGTGCCGGCTTGGACAAGCGGGAAAAACTGGCTCATGATCTCGAAGAGGCGCGTCGTGAACGCGATGAGGCTCGACAAGAGGCTCGCATAACAGCCGAGCGTTCCGTCAGGGATACAAGTAACTCACAATCATCTTTTGTATCCTTATCAGACGACGTCGGACACATCATGCAAATACTCATGCCGCTTTGGAATATCCTTCCCTCACCCGAAGCGCGCGCGGCCAAGTTCAGCAACCAATCGAGGTATCGAACGAATTCGCCCACGCACAGCCCGGGCCCGACCAAAATTGTGTCGTCACTTTCAGAGTTGGATGTACGCTCCCTCAAGTCTCTGTACGACTCGATGCGGCGGCCCGTGTCGCCGGCTGTGAGCAGTGGTGAATTTTCAATTGAGGCGTTCGCGGCACGGGTGCAGGCACTTGTTCATGATGACCGTGCGCTGATTGAGCGGCTCTTGAGGTTTGCCCAGGCGCATGATTTGCTCAAGAAAAATGCGGAGCGCGCGCAGAAGCTGGCACAGGAGGGCACTTATGCGTTGGAGACTTATCAGAAGCAGGTCCGGACACTGGAAGAGCGGAATATGATGTTGGCCTCGAAGCAGGCTGCAATGTAAGCCCATTAGCTTTTTTCTGTCCAACTGATCTTGTTGACCATCGATCAACATATTCTACAGGATTGAGGAAATGCAGCAGCTTCAGAACTCTCTTGAGCGCGTTGAGGATGAGAAGCGAGAAGTAGAAGTACTTGCTGCTGAGCAGGCAGAGACCTGTGCGCAATTGACGGAAGCCAATAACACCCTGAGTGCCCGAACCCTCACGCTTGCAGAGGAGGCAGCGTCTGGGCCCGAGAAAGTGCGCAAACAGCTTGAAGCGCAGTTGTCCGAGGCTCGGGCGGCGCTCCAGAATGCACAAGACGAGGTTGACGCCATGCGGACGTCGGAACAATCGCAGAGGATCGCACTCCTCGATGAGCTCAATACGGTGCAGAAGGAGAATGAACTCTTGAGGGCGCAGTTACGAGCAAGGAAGTGACTTTGACGATCTGTAAGTGAATTTAGTGTAGAAAATTATCTTCAGATACCATACCGTTGTTGTGTTATACCTGTAGTGTATTACAATCTATTGTTGAAATTTTGTATAATTTGACCAGACCACACAGCCATGCTCACAGAACACTGGCGGTCCCTTATTAACGCTGATAAACAAGGTCGCTACATTTGTACATTGATATTTCTGCTTTCTTGGGTTTTTTGTATGTGCAAAGTTACAAATGAAATACATAAATAAAACATACTCCCGGCTGCTGCAGAGGTACAAATGTGGGCTTCACTCAACAGCATTTGTCGGGCTTGCAAATGCAGCTAATGGAGAACAGTAACGCAGATTATTATGAGGAGTCGACCATAGGATAGAATAGATTTACCTTGCGCCGCAGTTACAAGACGCAGCATCACAGCAATTAACTTGGTCGAAGGGGGCTGAGGTAGTCTAAAATTGTCAGGAATTTGTTAAGATGGCATTGATATAAGAAGGGAAATAACTTACGGTGAACATCGTATGGTTTGATAGCTTTCAAATAACAGTGGCGATTGAAAGTGTTAATTTATTATTTCTTCACGAACATAGTATTCTTCTATAATCTCGAATCTATTTATAGATATTTACCTCTACCTTCGAGTGATGGTCCAATACAAAAAATCGCGCATGAAAAAGGCGCAAAATAGCTCATTGATTCCGGGCTTAATCCGTAATATGATTTTCTATCTCACCATCCTGAGATCCGAGTATATCGTTTATAGACATTTCGTGTGTTCTCAAATTCTGTTTGACAAGACTATACATACAATACAATTAGACCGCTGTCGGCCCTTTATTGACGCTGATTCAAAAGGTCACTATATTTTCATGTCCTTTCTTGGGTTCCATATGTATACAAAGTCACAAATGGAATCCGTGAGAATGGTGTTGGGACGACATATTCCCAGCTGCTGCTGAAGTCCGGGTATGGATTTAACTTCACTCGACAACATTTGCCCGGCTTGCAGGCGCAACTATTGAAGAATAATAGGTTACTTGTTTCTGAGTAGCTTCTTGGTTTTTATAAGGCGGTGGCGATCGAGTGTTTATTCATGATCTCCTTGACTCTATTTATAGATATTTAAAGTTACCTCTACTTAGCGACAAGGAATTCACACATGGACGGAGGTGAGAATCGCTCATTGGTGTCTAGCTCAATCTTACTCTTTAGCTTATCATCCTAAGATCCAATGTATATAATATTCTAACTGTGGAC